TTTAAATATGATTTCCCTTTAAATTTCAACTTTAAATTTCAATCCTTCTCTCTTTACAGCGTTCACCCCACATAAGGACAAACAAGGTACCTGTACTTTAGCAACTCACAGATGTCTGTGGAACTTTCTTAACTCCAACACTGCAACACTGCTTTGGTGCTAATTCAAGTCAAAACCACTGAAAGTTTCAGTAAGGACATAAATGGAGGGTTGAAGAGGACCCTCCTGATCACACAGTCACAGGTTCAAGTAGGTGTAAAGCGAGGTATAATGACAGCTCAGGAGAGCTAATGATACTCAATATCAGGGTAATCAGTGAAGTTCCTAAACTAAGAAAGTGGAATAAAAATACAGTGGGTTTATTACTAAGGAATGGATAGGAAAAGCCTTTTATGGTAATGATTCCTGTCTGAAGAAATCTGCTAGGCTTTTTGTTTGGAGTCATTGTTTTGACCTGGGCGTGTGCAAAAACGTCCAGATAGTTTCCTCACAAACAAACTTGATTATCCCAGTATGTTACTGGCTTGTCTAATGTTCTATTGCCATCTTCAAATGGTTCTAAGCAGCAAGGGGCCATGGTGTTTAAGTTGCAGGTCTCTGTTAATCTGCCTTAGCTGTTGGACAGCTCCTCTAAAGAGTCTTTGGTCAGAAATCTGGTTAGAGGAACCTAATTGTGGCTGATCTGTGATGGTGCAAATGAAACTTAATGGATTATCTTGGATTCATGATATCAAACAGTCTTTCTAGCTTTTTCTTGTCTGTCCAGTACCTATTTTCCTGTTTCTTTCATTTTAGGATTTAATGTCTGTTTTGACTGGAAGTCTTTTAACATTTCTGAAGTTGAATGAGAATAAATAGCTTATCGGAAAACCTTAATTGATCAAAATATCAGCAGGCTCCTGAATTGTTTTCTATTTATTACTGAGAAAAGTATAAATTATTTCATCTTTCTGATGTCATTTTTAATCAGAAACAAACTCAATCTAAGGCTTATGGGGGCAGAAATTATTTATTTTTTTGTTATTTTCTTTGTATGAGTGAATGAGTTGGCTTATTGTTGATAAATGGTGTATTTTTCCATTAGTTTCCTGCTGTAATGTGCTGTGACTGCATGTTGGAGAAGAAAGTGTCTGTTTGGAGCTTCAGGACGATACGTCATGTTTTCAGGAGTCACGGCAGAGTGTGGAGCAGTGGGAATAATGTTGTCTGCCTGCGATCTTAGGCCTTGGTTTTCCACTTGGTGGAAGCTTAAGCAGAGAAGTTCATAACTCTCAGATGGACGTTTGAAAGAAGGCAAGACGTCAAACTCTGCCCTAATGGATATTTACTTCCTGAATTTGGGCTTAAAATGCTGCAGGATGTAAACAGGCTTACAGTTGATGATGGTATACGTATGCTCCTTGACGCTCCCATCTTTCTAAACAGTGAAAACATGTTTTGCATACTGTATGGAAATATATTGATTCCTTTCTACCGTCAAGCAAACTACAGTTAATAGAAAAAGGAGGCTTTTGTTTGACTGGTTCCTTTCCTTAATCAGCCTTCTCTACTTCATCTCTCCTTCTGTGCTACACTCACATCCTCCCCTGAATATTTTACGGCCCCATTGTGGCAAAGGTCCATCCAAACTTTTGTGCTATTTACAGGAAATATGTGCAGGCGTGATGGAAATGGATGGAGCTGTATTAATATGGAGTGTTTTTCAGCAGATGAGAGAGGCTGTTGTTTGCAACCTTTCCCCTTGGAAACCACAGAGACAAAGTGGCTGTTTGAGTTCTTTGGAGGAGCAGAGAGATTTTAATATAAGAGAAGCAGCAGAGAGCATGACTGCCTCCTCATGAGGGGAACAGCCACTGTCCGCCTGTCCAGGCTGATAACAAGAGGCTCACTGACAAAAAGCTGGGGATCTTACTGGATGAACTTTTCCTAAATGTTTGAGCAAAGATAAAATCTCTTCTCCACATAAAAATTAAGCTTTTTATAAGAATAATTGAAGATAACTTTGATTAAGGAACCCAGCAGTGACCAGAACAGGGTTCTCACCTAGGCATAATCAGCTCAACCAGACGTTACTGTCAGCCAATCAGAAAGCAGAGTTTTTTTTTATTGCCAGATCCTGCAGGTCGTGGTGCTATTTTGAACCTGGTTTATGCTCAGAAACCAGGTCGTCTGCGTGTGTGTCACAGTTAACGCAGATATGCCCCGCCCCCTCCTGCAGACACTCTGGTGCATCTCCCCAGACTTAACTATAGTTAACTATACTTTACTATAAATAAGTATAAATCAAAAATATCTGCGTCATTCCTGCGGCAAGCTAACGGCGACACACTGCTGCGGGAGTATAACCAGCACTTTAGTACTTAATGATTTGCAATATTCTGCTATTTTGCCAAGTTGGTCCCGCTTATATCTCAGTGCTTTAAGCTGCTTTTTTTTTCTTCTTTTTTTGCTTCCTCTGGTTATCATTGCTGTATTTGAGGATCAGCCTCTTTTGCCAATATTTCCCTGACAATTGCTGCCAAATATGGAGGGAATTTTGTTGCATTATTATTGGGGGCAATATTTTTTGATTGAAATTTGAAAAACTGCAACCCAGAAATGAAACACTTACTTTACAAAAAGAGATTTTTTATTTTCAAGTTTAATTGTCCTTCTCAAATTTGTATTTTATATATTGATCTGAGGGCATTCCATTCGACATTCTCTTCACTTCCAGCCCAAAACAAACGTTAACTCTTAATGTGCACAATCACTGATGAAAAGTTATTTTGCCAATAAACTGTCTTTGCTCCTCCCTTCAGAGGAAAGCCCGCCCCCAGAGGGGAAGACAACGTGATCTGGAAAAATGCAGTAATAAAAAAGTAGGTACTTCATAAAACTCAATCTGAAATATAAATATATATATAAATATGTTATTTTTTGGAAAAATAAAATTTGAAAATATCAAATCTGTAAAAAGAAAACAAAAAATGTGAAAAAGTGAAAAACAAAATCTAATAAAATAGCAAAGCTACTCTAAAAAAACTTTTTTATTGAAATATTTTTCAACCAGTTTAATTTCTAAATTGCAGTTTTTTTCTAATTCAATGAAAAAAAAAATAGAACATGTTTTTTAGCTCATAATAATGAAACAAAACTCACCTGTTTCCTTGTTTGAACCGGTTTCCCTTTTTTAAAAAAAAAAGGCCTTTAGGCCCCTGTCACGCCTTCCTGATTTAGCCGGCGTATGCCAGATGTCCCAGAGTCTTCTAAATCGCTGGCATACGCCAAACCTTCTATGCATTTTTTCAACTTTGGCCATATACACAGCTTAATTTATGCATAACGCAGCGCAGCGTAATAACCGTAAAATATCAGAAGCCAGTTTCCTGAGGGGGGCAGCAATCTGCCCAGCCTGCATAAAAAGATATTAACCTAGCTGCTGTTTATCGTCCACCAAAGAAAAAAAGAATAAATTAAAAAAAGATAGAAAATGAAAGAAAGAAGGTTTGCAGTTGCAACAGATTCAGCATCATGTCTGCTAGGTAGATTGTTGGTTGTGGTTGTGAAAGCAGGGAGGATCCATCACACTCACCTTCTGGCTCAGCCTATGATGGAGAGGAAGTCTGGAGGAGAATTGACAGTTTTCTCCTGTGAACCCCCATTTTTAGAGCAAAACGATGCCAATAGACCATTAACATTAGCTTGAAGCTAGAAACACGCTGAGCGGTCAACTGGAACACGTCAGATACGTCGATATAACTTGATAAGTTACTCACAAGTTACTCATAGTTATTCCAAAAAAAGTAAAAAAAAAACCAATCCACTGGACTTTATTTCCAAGTTTAAAGATGTTTTGCTTCCCATCCAGGAAGCCTTTTCAATTCAAAATGTCAAGAATAGGTTGAGGTTTTATACAGTAGCCCAACAAGGCCTTGTTTTTTTTTTTAGAAAACATGCAAACTGAAATAGATGAATGGGTCCTCCCTGTTTGGCTTCTTTTGTTATCCTGTAATGCCTGAAACCTGTCCATGTCTCTGAAAGGGCGTTGTTAAAGGGAATTCTTGGCCTGGCTGAATAGGCGAGGTCTTCTGTTTCCCAGTAAAGGTGTTGTGGCTGCGTTGATAGCGGGAATGGATCAACTTTATTGCTGTAATGTAGGCATTTGAAAGCTCTCTTTTTAAGGTTGTTTTTTCTTTCTTAACATAGATGGCTTCCTTCACGCCTCTCTCAAACCACCGGCTTTCTTTGTCCATAATCTGAACATTCTGGTCCTCAAACGAATTTCCTCCAAACCAAAGTCCAGTGGATTGTTTTTTTTTATATTTTTTAGGAATGACTATGACTTGGATGACAGAGAATCTTCACCAGCTCATTACTCAGGTTTTGGATTTCGCCATATCTCAATGTGTTTCAGCGTGCTTCTGCGTGCTCATAACTTATACAAAACGTGCGCATAACTTATCCAACGTATGCCAGCACTTTTGACAGATTTTCCCTACATCAGGCATACGCTGGTCTAAATCTTCAGGGTGTGACAGGAGCATTCGTTAGATGCTAGTGATCATCGGATCCTCGGTTTAGCTTGATCTTCTTTTTTAAATCTTTAAAAACCTGCTGCTATATTTTGATCTAGAACGACAGATAGGACGATTCTCCTGCAGATTCGGACATTTATATAACACACCTCTCGGTTTGTGGACCTCCAGTCAGAGCTTTAAAAACTGCTCTTAGGATAAAATGGCCACTGCAGTAAGATATCGGAATAAGAAAGACCTCGAAGAGGTTCATTTTTTTGGATCACATGAGTTTCAAACTTTGGATCAAACCCAGCAGGCAGAGCTTCAGCTGCTGGATCCATCCTTTCAAAGCTAGAAAACCAACCAGTTTTATATTTTCTGCCAAAAAGAGCTGAAACATCCAAGGAAATGAACAAACACTTAAACATCAAACCATAACTGTTTAGAAATGATTGAGCTCTTGTTTGCAGACAAGATGTCACCAAAACCGTGTGCTTTCTTAATCAACCTCAGCGTCTTTTATAAGCTTGAACCATCCAGGCTAACAGAGAAACGTCTTCCTCACCTCCTTTGGTGTAATAGGGGTTTCCGAGGCTGGTCTGCAGGGGCGTGTTTCTGAATGACAGCCTTCTATCCCCCGCCCCGGCGGCCATGTTCCCCAGGTACCCTCTGTTGCCGGACCTCCTCCCGTCTTTGCTCCCCGTGGGCTTGGCCAGGGTCACCTCCACGGTGGCCCCGTCGATCTGCCTGCGGTTCATGAGGCCCATGGCGGTGATGGCGTCGCTGCGGCTGCGGTAGTGGATGAAGGCGAAGTCGGTGAGCTTCTTGACCCGCTCCACGCAGCCCGGTTTGAAGCTGGAGAATTCCTTGTAGAGGGTTTCCTCCGTGGTTTCCATCATCAGGTTACGCACCTGCAGGAGGAGAGCAAACAGTTGGCTGTACGGAGGGAACTTTCTTCCATTATTCTCGCACCTAAAGAAAATGTTTTGTATACTGAAATAAAATAGAAAAAGTGCAATTAAATCATCTTAACCAAAAAGGTATTGAGAGCAACTCTCATGTTTTCTTCTGTTATCTTTTTTTATTTAATTCTTTTTTAGCAAAACTTTTTATAGATTTCATTTTTTCATTTTTTTTTAAAGATTAAAAATTTTCAAATGTAATATTTTTTTCAAATTTCTGTTTTTTATTTTATATATTTTGACTAATTAGCATTTGTTTTCTTGATTTAAACAGATCACATTGTCTTAAATTTGAGCCCAATACAGAGGCTTCCTCTTGACGACCACACTGACCAATGAAAATGTCGTTGCTAACGTCCCGTAGACCAATAGAAAAGCTCGCCCCAGAAGTGAGGCGATTTTCATGTTAAAGGAAATTTGAAATAAAAAATGGCATTCGTAAAACACAATCTTAAAAACCCAAATTTTTTGAAAAAAATTGTGAAATATAAAATCTGTAAAAAATAAAAATATACATTTAAAATATGAAAACATATTGGTTCCTTTTTTTTTTTTTTCAATTTACAAAACATCTAGTTTGCTTTTAACAATAAACAAACTAAATTCCCCTTCAAATGGGTGTAAACCCAACAAGCAGCGTTCATAAAGCAGAGGAAGTGTAACAGCAGAGACATGAGTCAGGCTTTGAGTGTTTCCCTCCTCAAACAGCGAGTCGTCTACCTGGGAAGCGTTAAAGGCTGGTTATCCTCCCACAGCAGTGTGTCGCAGTCAACTTGTCGCAGATATTTTTGATTTATGTCCAATATTGAAGCGTGGTCTGCCCTATGTTATTCCACGGCACAACGCAAGAGGGACAATCAGGAAGTAGCTGTGGGTCTAGATACGGCCGAGGCGGTGAGGAAGTGGGGAAAAGTTTGAACAACAACGGAGAAACATGTGTGCCAAAAAGAGCGGGGATCCAGGTGGAAAAAGGGTCCCAGCATTCTCGCGCACCTCGCTCTTCTAACCACAAGTAGTTTTCCACAATGGCGGTCATACAAAAGAAACAAGCCAGTAAGGTACTAAACAGGAAATACACATAATGTAGAACGGATATAGATTTGACCAATCAGAGGCCTCCTGTCTCCGGCACTGTCTGCGATCACCTACATTTTTGGAGGGTTGCACCTGAGTGTCTGCATGTTTGCATTCACTGCGACACACACACACAGATCACCTGATTTCTGAGCATAAATCAGCCTCAAAGGGCTCACAGAATGCGAAACCAAGTTTCCATTGTCATAGATGAATAACAATAGTTCAGTTGGTGAAATGGACGTACAGAGAAGTTCAAACCCCATCAACACCTCCTTTCTCTGCAAATCTCACACTTCTAAACTTCCACCATGAAACGGGCGAATCATAAACGAAGCCCTGAGTCGACATAAACTCTGTGATGTCGCCTTATTTGGTTCTGGTCTGTACTTTTGTACACTACACTGGTTCACTGGCCCAAGGGAGGGGGGGTAGGGCCGCTGACTGGACCGGACCTCAGCAGAGAGCAATGAGCCGTCCTCAGCCGGAGGAGGGGGGCCGGTAAGGCCTGCTGCTACGTGCTGAACTGTAGTCGACCAAAATCCCAGACGATTTTGAAATTCCCTCTGGACATTTTTTTAGGTATAAAAAATAGGAAATGTCTGGGAAAAAGAAGACGTCTGGTCACCCTACCATATCAACAATTTGATGTTTCAGTGAACGCTCCTTTTAAAACGCTCCTTTTAAAACCATAATTAGGAAGCATTATAACCACCACGGCTAATCAGGCCCACAGCATGATGCTGTCACCACTTTACATCATTGTGATCAAACAGCTGGATCTTTATCCACTGCTGCAGCAAACTGCCCTGCACCCAAAGCCACGTTTTTATCCTCTTTCTGCCTCTTTCTGCCACTACTGTACCAAGGATTCTTCTGGAAGCACTTTGCTGCCACCTAGTGGTCAGTTAAGCCTGGTCCTCCACTGTCTATTTAAATCCTCTGTATGGGAGCAATCACATATTCATAACCTCCAGGTCCTGGTAGTGAAAAGTCAGTCCTCTGACCTATGAGGGTGTCAGAAATATGGAAACATCAGAATAACCTGATAATCTGCTGTAGCTGGAAATCTGGGTTCAAACAAATCCTTCTCCTGATGCACAGAGAAACACTGAGCTGCTCTATGGACAGCAGCTCGAACACTTCCTAGAACACTTGGCAGACTTAGCAGAACGCAAGCTTACAATCACATTTCCTAAGCCTTTATCAACGACCCTGCCTCTGTGTGGATTAGACAAAACAGAATAAATTAAAAAACTTTGTTTTTATTGAATTCACTGTCTTGTCGGGTCATAATTCCAGGCTGACAATATAAGCAGCTCAGAGGAACCACAACAAGCAGTGAATAACGTGACGTTCTGGATGATCAGCCAAGCAGCAGAAACATCTGTGGGGTCCTTATAGTCCGACGTCGTTCTGAAGGCCTGGCGTACCTAATACAGGTTTAAAATGACTGCTGGTGGCCTGATGATGTCATCTACCTGCTCATTATCGCCGTCTGGCTTTAAAGTCTGTTTCCATGAACAGAAAAGGCTGCAGCAGCAGAATGAGAGCTGAAAATCTGAGGAAATCTGATCTGAACAAAAAGGGAACAAAGGAAGTCTGACAGAGCAGCAGAAGAGGAGAAACTCCCTGAGAGCTTTTCTCTTCTTCTCCTGCCTCGGTCGCTTTAATAAGCTGTAAATGGCAGAAAAAATGTCCTAATCTGAGTCAGCTCTCAGATTAAAGGGATAATCTCTTCCTCTTTGTTGAGGAAACACCGACTGTTGTCTCCTGACTCCAATCCCTCCATCTTGGAATCGTTCACACAGAGGGCAGGTTATTTCTGACCCACATCAGCTTCTCCTCTTTGATCAGAAAGCAGCTGAGCTCTGCCTGCAGGGCGGCGCTGTGGAGCTCCGCTGCTGAACTTTGGGTTTCTCAGCAGGCTGAGTCGGGCTCAGTGCCGTGCGTGTGTTAGAAGTGAAGGTACGTACGTAGAGGACTCGGACGCGCTGCATCACCTCCTCGTCCACGTCCTTCTCCGGCTCGGCCCAGTCCACCTGGATGGACTGACCCCACAACTGGAAGGTTCCTGCCGGGCAGAACCAGGACCCCATCAGCAGAGGGAGGAAACCAGCAGCATCTTAAAGCAGCTCTAGTCCTGCTATAGACTCTCATTGGACGTACAGGACCGGCCTTTGGCTAGGCCGTTCTCACCCTTTGATTCAACCTAGCCTGGTTCAATTTGACGCCATTGCCTAAAACTCATCACCATGTTTAGAATGGCGGCATCTGCTGGATAATATCAGAACTACAAATGAATGGGTATCCTAATGTCCCCTGAAATAAATACAGTTTTTCCATCATAATAGCATTGATAACGATTTTTTAAATGAATTAAAAAAAGATCTAATGTCTGACCTGTAAATTTGTACTATAAAAAGCCCTTTTCAGTACCAGCAATGTAACAGCGTGGTGATGTTTTAAAGTTAACTGATTAGCAATATGAGAACAAATCTTGCCCGATCATCTGTTGCTAATCTTTATTTGCTAATTTGTTAGTTACGACACTAATCGGCCGTACGGGCTAAGATTTCAGTGTGATGCACCTACTATCTATATAAACGCACTGATAAATGATCCTTTAAATATTTCTGATGATTAGAACCAACTCACTTATAACACAGAAATGTAAACAACAGGCAGTAATAAAAAGCGTTGCAGAAATAAGTACCAAAAAAAAATACAAAGGAAGAATAAAACAGACAAAAAGTATTATAACATGCACATAAATAAATACTTAAAAATATAAGTAATAAATAAATTAAGTTGAAGATTATAAGGGAAAATAAATAAATAAGGCAATTATTACAAAGGTGAATAAATAAAGAAGCTAATTAAAAGAGATGAATACATTTATGTCTCAATGGATAATTGTATGCTCATTTATTTATTATTATTATTAGGTATGCACGATATTGGGATTTTGGCCGATATCCGATATCCGATATTTTAAAACTCATGTAGCCGATATCGATACCGATGTTGAAGCTGGACAAAAATAAGTAGTCATTGAAAATAGCAGTTTTGTTATCCATTTCTGACACTTTGAAAAATAATATACTCAAATATATTTTCATATGCTGATATCAAATTGATTTTTAAAAACGCGGTATCGATCTATTTTACTTTCAAAATCTCGTGAAATTTCATCGTTCTGTTACAAACTCTCGTGATATTTTGCAAATTCTTGTGAGATTTTGTTAGTAAAATAGATCGATACCGCGTCAATATATCAACATATAAAAATATGGCAACATTTGGTGAATTTTCGGGGGATTTCGTAGCATAACGATGACATATAGCAATATTTCATTAGTAAAAGAGATTGATATGGTGTTTTTAAATGGCAATATATCAGCATATGAAGATATTGGGATATTTTAATGTATCAATATTTTTTCCCTCGTCTTTAGAAGTTTTTAAGTCTGTAAAAAAGAAGTTTTTGAGGAAGAAGAAGAAGTAGTATTTTTATTTTTTTTCAGACTTTAGAAACTCAGAAGCTGATCAAATATCGGGTTAAATATCGGTGGGGTGGCTGATATCCGATATTCGGTTTTAAGGCAGATACCGATAGGGGGACGATTATATCGTGCATCCCTAATTATTATTATTATTATTTATTTATTTATTTTATTTATGTGTTTATTTTTAAATATGGCATAGTTGGTCCTCCATACATTTTTACTCATGACACAAATGTCACAACGGTTAATGATCTGTGACTGTACCCTTGATCGGACAGCAGGGGGAGTTGCTTCTCAGTCAGTCTGTACCACCGGAAATACATTCATGTCCTTCTGCCATGCGGCCTCCAAGGACCAAACTCACATATGCCGTATTTGCTTACTGCGAAACTTAGAATGTAACTCTCTCTACATCTTCGTATTCACACAATGATGCACCAATAACCTTCATAAATGTAGAGGCACAGGTTGAGCTCTGCCTCCCTCTGCTGGACACAGACAGGAACTGACCTCGGGTCAGGGCGGAGCAGGAAGTGAGCAGGTGACGTACCGGGCATGAGCATCCTCCTTGCCATGGCGGCTGCTTTGTGGGACCCGTACTCCACGAAGGCGTAGCCTCGGTTATGGCTCTTCTCTGCGAAGTTTGGGTAGACGATGACGTCCACCACACCGTCGGTCACCTGGAAGCACGGCCTTCGTCAGACACGGCGGCGGCTTTGTTCTGTTCCTCAGACCTTTAAACTCTCTACCCACCTTCTTCATCTCCTCCATGATCTCCTCCTTCTTCTTGTCTTTGGGGATGGAGCCGATGAAGAGGCGGCAGTTGTCCAGACTCACGCAGACTCCGATGAACTTCCCCGGTCGAACCTCGCAGTTGTCCAGCATCCGGATTGCTCTCTGAGCCGCTCCTCTGGACCGGAAGCCAACCACAGCGCTCGTTAGTCTGCTGCCTCCCACCGGGCCGCAGCGAAGTCGCCCGGCGCCTCACCTGTTGGTGTACATGACGAAGGCATAGCCGCGGTTCTCCCCGCTGAACTCCATCATCAGCCGGAACTCATAGATCCTCCCGGCCTTCTCGAACAGCGGCACCAGCTCGTCTTCGAACATGTCTCTGGGAATCTTCCCCACGAAGACCTCGCAGCCCCGTGGAGGAGCCGGACCTTCCCAACCTGAGCCACAGAACCAGGCACCCAGAACTTTTAATGTTTAGGAAGAAACCTGGACGACTGAGCGGGAGGGAAATATAACCTTCTATTCTAAAACAAGGAAATCCTCACTTCCTGATGTTTTATTTCAGACATTTAAATATATATAAACCTGTTATTATTCAATAAACATGCTAAAGGAAGAAATATAATATCACTTATTTGCATATTAGGAGCTTTAAACAATTAATCAGATTAATCAATTATTGAAATAATCGTTAACTAATGCAGTAATCAATGAATTATTCACTGGAGTAAAGAGACTGTACTAAGCCTTTAGCTGACAGAGCGGCCCACTTAGAGCAGCAATTATACCAAGATTGTAAAAAATATATTAAAATTTTTCATTTAAGATAAATAGAAAAAGTGTTTTTCGGTTAATATTCTCTATCTAGAACTCCTAAAGTGAAAAAGTTTGAGTTTCAGCTGGTTTAATCTCCTAAAATGTCTTCTTGAAGGAACCTTTTACTATCCGATTATTAACCAATTTGCCGAAAAAATAATCGACTTATTATTCAATTTGCAGAATAATTGTTATTTGCAAACTTAAAAAAGGCTTTAAGTCACTTTAAGCTTAATTTTCTCAAGCAATAGAGTCAAAATCACTTTTCACAAATATAATAAAGTTTAAAAGCTCTCTGTGACAGATTTATTGTTTTACAAAATCATTATTAGTTGCAGTTTATGTTATTTAAAATGCTTCGGTAGAATTGTAGACTGAAGACATATGATTTATAAAGTTTCAAAACTGGCTAAAACTGCAAACTAAATGAGAGTAAAATCAGGGAAAGAATGAAATAAAGAGTTTAATATAAACAGCTAAAACGAATCTTAAAGAAGACTTTTTACTAAATGAAACCGGGTGAAACCTTTCCACAGTTCTGGAGCATATTGACAGATGAAAAAGATTTTTTTTTTATCCTTAATGTATAATTGCTGCTCTAAGTGGGTCGCTCTGACTCTATATACTCCAGTTAATGATTAATCAATTAATTGATGATTATTTCAATAATCAATTAATCACCATTAATCGGATTAGCAGTTTCAGCCATAGCTGCAACTATTATTCAAATAGTTTAAAAACTCGTTACTTTTTATTTGTGCTTAGTTTTGATTTTCTATTATAGTTTAACTTTAATTTGTTTTTAGTGTTTGAAAGCTAGATTCGTTTCTAATTTTTGAAAATTAGGTTTAGTTCTAGTTCTTGTTTTTTTTTAGGTAATATGATGGACATACGGGGCTCAAGACTAAAAAAACAATAAAGATAATAGAAATAAAATCCCAGATAAGGACAGAGAGGACTGCCATACTGCCATCTGTTGGCGTAATGTAGTACAGCAAATAAGAAGCAAAAACAGCAGCAGGAAACTAGACCTCATGTTAGTGCATTATAACAAAGACACAAAGGAAAAGGAAACGCATTCTGCTAAAATTCAGTTAGTTTTAATTTTTTTTGTTAATCCTTGTTACAATTTCTCTTTTGTTTTTCTTTAAACGTAAATTTATACATTAATATGTCAGTTTTTGTAATTTCAATAGTTGTAGCTAACAATAATAACCTTGGTTATTGTATCAAACTTTAAACAATATATAAACACTTTCCACTGAAGAGACCTTCTGTGTTCGTCCAAATGTTTTATCTAGAACTAGAATGGCGAAGTTTTAGCTTCACCTGGTTTAAATTCTGTATCAGATCTTTAAGAAACCTTTCAGTTTATCAAAAAAATGATTCATTAGAAACATAGTCATTACTTTCAGTCCTAATCCCAATACAATCTCTATTTGCTTTGGGATTAAAATGAGCCAATGTGGTGGAAATCAAATAGCTTATCTAACTTCATATATCTGAGCCTAAGAGGTGCCGTCATTTCCTGTTCCTGTGGGCTGTGGTGTACCTGGCGGCGGTCCGCCATACTTCCTCTGCCCGTTCTCCTGCACCATGTTGTATCCCGTCTTCTCCATCAGAGCTAGCAGAGCCATCTCCTTCGCGCACGACACTCTGAAGTCATCTTTATCCGCCGGCGAGTCCACGTCAGCCGAGTCTCTGTCTACGCCCTCGTCTGATGACCTGTCGCCGTCTGTGAATGAAAAACAACCATGATAGTGAACATGAAGCCCAACATCTAGAACTAGACATGAAAGCTAAATTACTTAAGGCTTTCAATGAAATAATCTCACATTTATATTAATGACACAAATGTCATTAATATAAATGTTTTCATAATTAACTAGACGACTAATAATAGACTTCAGTTCAGCTTCTGGTTAAAACTGTCTTAGATCACAAACAGGTGAGAAAAAGGCCTGGATTAAAACAATTAATCAGATTAATTGTGTTTAATTGATTTATTAAAATAATAATCAACTAATTTAGTAATTGATTAATCTTTAACTGGAGTATAGAGATAATAAAACGTATCTTTAGCTGACAGAGTGACCCACTTAGAGCAGGAATTAGAACAAAATGAAAAAAGAAATTCAAATATTTTTCATTTAAGACAAAAAAAACATGTTTGTCTCTGATTATGCTCTGTCCTATGAATGAGTATTAGGGCCACGCTAGAGATTTTTTTTCTTCTATTTTGAGAATAAAGTCGTAACATTAGGAGAACAAAGACGTAAAATTACGAGAATAAAGCCATCATACGACAACCCGTTTCAGAAAGACAGCTTTTGGAAGAAAGTGCTTCTTGTAAGAGCTGTCATAAAATACAACTTGTTTCTCGTACTTTTACGACTTTATTCTCCTAATATTACGACTTTATTCTTGTAATTTTATAACTATTCATGTTGCGACTTTTTTCTCTTTATTGTCACAGTTTTACAACTTTATTCTCATAATGTTACAACTTTATTTTCGAAATGTTATGATTATATTCTTGTATATTTATGACTTATATCTGGTAATGTTCTAACTTATATCTCGTAATGTTACGACTTTATTCTCATGTTATGACTTTATTCTCATAATGCTACAATTCTATTTTCAACATGTTACGACTTTATTCTCCTAATTTTGACTTTATTCAGAATCAGAATCAGAAATACTTTAATAATCCCAGAGGGAAATGACTTTCTTACTATTCTCGAAATAGAAGAAAAATAAATCTCTAGCCTGGCCCCAGTACTCCATCGTACTATCCAGAACTGCTCCATAAGTAAAGTTTTAGTTTTACCTGCTTTAATTTAGTAACAGATCTCCTTTAAGGAACATTTTACTACTATTGAAAGAATTTTTACTATCAATTAATCAATCAAAAAAAAAAAAAATCAACAGACTGATCAATTTGCAGAACTAAAAAAGGCTTTAAATTACTTTTAGCTTAACTTTAACAAAACATAGAGTCAGAAATAAGTAGTTTTATATAGAAACTGGCTGTTTACTAATATAAAAAGGCTCTCTGTCTGTAACAGTGACAGTTATAACCCAGTCCTGGTTGAACTAGTTTATTGGTTTTAAAGGCCAAACTAGAACTGATCAAAAGTTTCTTTAAAAGAAAAAGAAACATGAAGCTAATCAGTTATTCTGTTAATTTTCTAAGAACAAATTAAAACCTCGGGAAGTTTATATCACAACCATTATCACAAACCAAATTAGCTAACGCCCTTGTTAGCTTAAAATTAGTGACATTTTAAAAAGCTAAAGCGACGATAAACAGCTAAAATAAAGTTAGCTAGCATGAAGATAAACGGCTAATTAAAGTTAGCTAGCATGCTAGTAGCTCCGCTCATGAAAAATATGAGGCTACGCTAAGATTAGTTTAACAAGCGGGTGAAATTAAGTTTGAAGTATTTTGCAAACTTCTTAAAGAAAATTCTTACCGCCCCATTCCAGTGACATTTTCCTCTCTTAGTGAATAATCTGTCCTCTTTACGTAAATAAAACCGTCTGGAGAGGAAAGGAGGGCTCCGATGTTAGATCCTGACTTCACCGGGAAAAGAAGAAAAGAAGTTGCCTAGCAACGATACGGGCTTCCCTGACTGACGTCAGGCTACTGCATGTTTAGCCAATCAGATTTGTTCTTCAGCGTAAGAGGCGGGAGAGCTTAAAAACTAAAAAACAGATAAATGTTTAATATTAGACACATCTTAATGATCCAACCAACTATAAAGAATAAGAAAATCTTTTTTTAATCTTTTTTTTTTTGGTTAAATTAGGTCCTTTTATTAATTTATTTTATTTTCAGCTCTGATATCTAATTTGACTGCAGTTAAAAAAAATTACATTACATAAAATCAAACTTTTCAGAAAGTTACCAGTTAGATAATTAATTAGTAGAGATGCCAGAAAAAAAAACAATAAAAAAAAAAAACATTTAACATTAACTTAACTACTGAGTTATTCCGCATTTAAACTATGAAATCTATAAAAGTGATCCCTTAATTATGTGAAAAAAAGTTACAAAAGTGTTACACAATTTATTAAAAATATATTTTTATTGAAAAAAAATTTTATAAATTAATTATCAATTAAATCCAAAGCAGTCTAAAATTAAACCATTTTATTTTTCAATACATGTGATTATTTGGTAAAAGTAATTTATTAAAAAAAATGTTAATAACTTAAATTATAATAGTAATACATCGATAAAATGTTACACTAAAGTTGCATTTTCAAATATTTACAAACAAATAGAAATTCAAAAAGAGGTTATAAAATAGCAGAAGCATGACACCATGGGACTGATTATTAAAGTTAATATTTATAGGTTAATAGGTTAATAATAATAGGTTTTATAATATTATTTTTTTCTTCTTTGATTGTAGCTTTATTTTGAAAGGAAAGTGTTTGAGAAAGATTGATTAATAAGCTTTTGAGGAGACATGCCATCAGGTGCAAATCTTATTTTAACACAATTTTTCAAATAAAGCTTAATTAATTTATATTTTATTCATTTTTTAGGGGCATCTGTGTAATAAGCAAAGTGAAAAAAATCCAAAGGAGAGGGTTATTGAGAATGCTCTGGCAAACTGAAATTAGTTCAAACATATACATGCAGAACAAATTTAAATAAGCAAACTTTTATTTAACTGTACCTGCAGGGCATTAAAAATCAAACAGGATCAAAGGTTTTTTTGTGTGTGTGTGTTTTCTCTTTGTTTAAGATAAATCATTAGGCCTAATCAAAGTAAATGCTCTCTGTAGATCCTGATCACTCTTAATGTCAGTGAATGTATTCAGGAGGCCATCCAGATGAGGAAAGGCAGCAGCACGGCCAGCAGGATGGACCAGGTGTTCATAACTCTCAGGTAGATCAGCAGAGATGCAGCCAGCACAGCTGTAACCTTGGCAACAGCTCGACTCAGCAGCATCTTCCTCAGCGTCTTACAGAACTGATGGAGACAAAGCAGAGAGCTCTCACAGGTACTTTAATTGTGACAAAAATGCTTTGAGTTTCTATATAAATACATATAATTATCATATTATATTTAATTTGCATTTACTAAAAGTTTTTTTTTTTTTTTTTGTCTGCTTTTAATGAGGGACAAAAAGTCAAATTCTTTTTTTAATACTGAATTTGTCACAATGTGCAGTACATATAAAGGCCGCTAGATGGAGGCATGACATCATAGTAGAGATGCTGCTGGCAAGACTGAGCAATGAAACATGAAAACATCAGTTATCTAGATGATTATTCTTAAGGGAACTAAATATTTGATTTTAATTATCTTTTTTTAACCTTTGCTATGAATTATCCTGTTTATAATTATATTTTTGTTGAATGCTTTCAGCATGCCTTTTGATTCCTTAGCTTTGGAGAAACCTTCCATGTAATAATGTGTAAAATGATAGTAACTACTACAATAAAAGCACAGCAGAAATCTTACAAATGAGCCCAAATAATGTTAATTCGTAAGGAATTGACTCCAATTAAATACACCTCAAACATATAAAGAGATTCAATTTAATTCAGTTCATTTATATAGCCCCAATTAAACAAAACATCTCAAGGCACTTTCCAGTTCACCAGATCTTACAGTCAGATTGATTCAAAGTGTTCTATCTAAGGAAAACCAGTTGATTGCATCGACTCATTGACTCAAATACAATCCCTCACACTAAGCATGCTTGTAGCGACAGTGGAGAGGAAAAACTCCCTTTTAACAGGAAGAAACCTCCAGCAGAACCAGATGCAAAGAAAGGATTTAAATTAATACATTTTTGTTCAACATTACTTTTCAATTAACTCTGTAACCCTTGGGGGAGTGGCAGCCTAGAGAATAGAGCTTGGAACCCTCAGATTCTGAGTTCTAGCCCCACCCACAGACTGCCAAGGTCGTTTCTCAATTTGTGTTCTTGTGCGTTCTTGTGTGCTCGTGTACTTGTGAAACGTCATCACCCTCAGTCCTAGTACTGTTCCAATTCACAAGAACAGCAGACAAAGAATGGACAAAGTCCCCGGATGTTGTTCTTGCCCCTCCCTCGTTACCCAGCATGCATCAGAGCAGACTTGTCCGTTCTTGAGACTGACAGCTGTCCCAGCATGCACTGCAGCAGCAGCAGCTTCCAGGTTAGCACTCACAGAGCTCAGAGGATTAAATTCAAAGTTCACTTTTCTGTTGCTGTTGCTCAATAAAAGTAAGTTTAAGATATTTTGAGAGGAGAACATTATACTTTTAAGCATCACTATGTGGTCCATTTTCCAATTTAATGTGTAATTTTTTTTTTTTTAAATTTCCGAAGTTGAGAGAACCGCGTCAACCAGCGGAGCTCCAACAGTAACAGCAGGCAGGTCTAACGTTAGCAGATCTGACTGTCTCTGCATAGCCATGTGTGAAGTACCGCCGGTTATGATGGTGATATTTTTGTTTTATTTGGTAAAATTTTCATTTGATTTGTGTTTATCTGACGGTAGAATTTATTATTATCTAGAGCAGGGGTCTTCAACGCTTTCCAGGCCAAGGATCCCCAAACTGATGGCAAGATGGAGCAGGGACCCCCTAATTATACATATTGTATGAAATTGTGTAATAGCAAACTGCTCCTATAGTCACTCTTTTACAGATGAAGTAATGTAAAGAAAGTTATGCTACGTTCACACCAAAAGCAGCAAAGGCAGCAAGAGGAGCTAGTTTACATGCAAAGTCAATTGATTGACGCGAGTCAAGGCGCAGCAAAATGTCCCACAGCGAGTTTTGAGCAGCGAGAACAGTGCGTCGGGAGCAGCTGCTGCTGGAGTTGAAAAAATTGAGCTTTTGCTGCTCGACGCGCCACATCAACCAATCAGAGAAGCTGATCCGGGAGCTGGCAGGGAGACAGACACAGTGATGCTGATACAGATCACTATGATCACTCCTCTGAAACAGTTTATCAACGCCTAAATTAACTTAAACTGCTGAAACCTGCTGGCAAAACATATTCGCTTTATTATCCTGGTGCCTGCAGTTTGGATTACATACAAGAATACCGCTTTTCAGCTGCCACAGCAAACCGCGAGGAGGCGACGGGCCAGAGGCAGCTGTTGAATGGGATTCCTAGTGACAGCGCACCGCCGTGTGAGCGGTTCCGGTTCCACTTAAAAACATATTAAAACTATTTTATTCCCACTAATTACAGCAAATATAGCTGCAAGGCAAAGAAAGGATAGGGTAGCTCCGCCCACCGCACATCAGACCGTCTTTTCCACCACGCAGTTGAAGCAGCTTTGCTGCTCCTGCTGCGCATCAGAACTATGCTTGCACAAGCATCAAAAATGAAGCAGCAGACACATTTTTGCTGCTCCTGCTCCTTTTGGTGTGAACGAAGCATTACATGAAAGTTACAGTACAAGTTACCAGAGTGTTTTTAAACTACACTATCTGTACTTCTAGTAAGTAACAAAAGTTTGTACTTTTGACACCACTGTTATTAAAACAAGAAGCGGGTTTTGACTTGATCCCTGATGTATATAATTCCACAATTTCTGTTTATTTATGATCAATAGATTTATCCTCTACAGTCTCAGCATTTCTGTACATCCTGTACTTCATGTTAGTTCCTTTCGCTGCAGCCAGCTTACAGCTTAAATGATTTAGTTTCAACACCTGCTCTACATTCCTCTCCTCTTTCCCAAGCTTTCCTCCTCCTCCTCTGCTCCGTTTTGCCTGGTTAGATTCCTCTTAATACTCTCAACCCTCAGCCTCCTAATCGCAGAGAGAATCTGCTGAAACAAAGGAGCTTTCATGGAGGAACCTTTACTGCAGCGCAGAGCTTAACCCCACTACAGCAATGAGATGATTTGATCGATGGTCGTTGAGATTTTAGTTTATGTGCCATGAATGTTTAGGGTTCCTCTCATGTCACCTGGAAGGTCTGGAAGCTCATGACGGTGCCGTATCTGCAGTACATGACGAAGTGTTCACAGTTGTACCACAGCAGGCTGTAGGCCACATCTCCCAGCAGCTTCTCGGCCCGCCGGGCCACCTCCTCCCCCTGCAGCGCTGCACGGCTGCACATCTGAGAAGACGAGGGATGTAACCTGGATTAATACGACTGCAGTATCACAATATCTACAGATTCATTCAGTTTAAAGTTACACTTATGGTCAGTAGTTTACATCCAGTCATATTCTTCCTTTCTTGGATGGAAACATTTTATGAAGCTATATGCCTTTAGAAGTAAACAAGTTTAACACTGTTAATCTTGCAGATATTTAAAAAGGTGTTGCAAAAAGTTCTAGCATTTTCCGAGATATTATTTGTCATCTCATCGTCTTCCAGTTGATCTTGGACCCGGTCAGCAGCAGTCACAGCAGAGACTTCAAGACTTCCCTCTTCCAGTTCTGCTGAGGAAAACCCAAGGTTTTCCAAGGACAACCGAGAGACGTAGTCCCTCCATTGTGTCCTGGGTCGCCCACTAGGCCTCCTCATAGTGGGACATACCTGTAACCCTACCAAGGAAGGAATCCATGGGGCAAATATGCGGAACATGCCAATTTCAGCCGCTTGTATCCAGGATCTCATTTTCTTAGTCATAATCATAGGTGGGAGTGGGAACATTGACAGAGCGGTAAATGAAGAGCTTTGCCTTTTTGCTCAGCTCTCTCTTCACCACGACAGACCGGTGCAGTGTCCGCATCATAGCAGCAGCCGCACTGATCCGTCTATTGGTCTCCACCTCTCCTATTCTCCCGTCACCAAAGAGCAGAACCCAAAGATACTTGTACTCCTCCACTTGAGGCTCTCCTCATACCTTAAGGGAACAAGCCACCTTTTCTTGGTCAAGAACCATGGCCTCTGACTTGGAAGAGTAGATTCTCATCCTGGCTCGATTGCGAACAGCCCCTCTGACAAAACAAAAGACTCTTAAGGCTGGTTTATTCTCAGAAACCAGGTCATCTGCGGCTGTGTCACAGTGAACCTAAATGTGCCCCCGCCCCTCCAGCACACACTCTACTGAACCCTTTGCAAAATTGTAGGTGACGGCAGACAGTGACGCAACGCAGACTGGAGGCCTCTGATTGGTTAAATCTACATCCACTCTACACTATGTGTATTTCCTGTTTGGTACCTTACCGGCTTGTTTTGTTTGTGTGACCACCATTGTGGAAAAAGACTCGTGAAGTTGCACCAGCTAGAAGTGCGAGGTGCACTAGAACGCTGGGACCTTTTTGCACCTGGATCCCCGCTCTTTTTCGCTCTCAAGTTTCCCTAGTTGTCGCACAAACTTGCCCCCACTTCCACACAGGCTCGGCCGTATCTAGACCCACAGCTAGTTCGTGATTGTCTCTCTTGCGTTCTGGCGGGGAATAACATAGCGCAGACCACGCTTCAATATAAGTTTAATTTAATTTCTGAATTATGTTCAATGACAGATGTTTTATTTAAACCAAAAATACAAGGAATTTCATGAAACTGATGATAACACAAGTTGGGAAATTTTTTAGACTAATTTCTAAGCTTTTTCAAAGTCCAACACTATCAGTTCATGAACTCATATGTAATCAGAAATTATTCAGATGAGTCATTTCAAGGTCAAGTTAAAGATGAAAACGAAAATGAGAGGAAATATTTTTAGATGTTAATCAGGAATAAGTCAGAAAGGCCAAATGTCTTCTGCAGAGATTTTTAACGCTCATATGAGACAAAGATTGAGCAGAGAAACATCTAAAAGGTGAAGGACACTAGACCTCCAGGCCGGGAGTGAAGACCTCTGTCCTGTGGGGTGTTTAGGCCCTGCCTTTCACTGTGCATACACTGTATGATATTTTCAATCATTGTACTCAGCTACAGCTCAAACTGTATGATGAAACAGCAGGGTTTAAAAGTTCACTGCTCACAATGTATGTTCTTACACTGAACGGCACAACTCTATGATGCAACCTACTTATATACTACCCCCATACACTACACGACACGCAGGACGCACGATGAGGCTAAAACTCAGTCCGATCCAAAAATTATCACACAACTGGAGAATCGGCCCCATTAAGGACAAAAAATCATAGTGTATGCCCACTCTTAGAGATATATGAGTTCTGTCATCTAGGAGCAGAGAGGCTGCTTCTTTGCTCTAAAAGGTTTCAGTCTAGATGAGAAACATATCTCCTCAGGATGCTTACACACCTGAGGAATCTCTTTGGAGTGTTTCCAGACATAACCAACTTTGATAAAGACCGGGGAACAGAACAAGAATTCTCTTCGGTAGATTAAAACCCTTGATTTAAGACAAACAATCCAGCAGACAGCTAGCCAGTTGATTTAATTGTTAACCAACATTAAGATCTGATTTTCTATTTTCTATTTACTGCAGAGTTTTAATGAGTATGGGTAGTGCTCTAGTAAATACAGCAATCACACAAGGTTGGAAAAAATTTGATCAAAAGCTGTAGGTGCCGTTTCTGAGTAAAGTCACCTTGTCCATTGGGTTGACGATTATCTCTGCTCCATAGGCGAAGTCCTCTACTGAGTCCACTCTCACACTGCCACACTGCACACAAAAATATGCTTGTTTTTTTTTTTTTTTTGTTAACACAACTAGAAAGGCATTGCAAAGACATTGCTATAAAGATAAGCTTCTGGTTTGGCGTTTATGTGGTGGAAAAGTCGTCTTCTTAAATGTCTCGCTAGGGTTCACCAGACGGTTCTGTCACAACTGCAGGATTATTTCATACATGCCTGGGTTATTGCTATTACACCAAAGGCCAAAAGGTGGAGCCAAACCTGTAAGTCACACAACGACTCTGTGGTTTCCAGACACAACGAAACAACAGTAAATACAGCCTTATCTTTTAATTAAAGTCGTAGGGAAGTGGCTGTTCCAAA